ATATAGTCATATTTATATGGTTAAGTCGAATCAAAATGTGTGCATTCGTGGGTCTCGGAAGAGTTTTGGGCCCTCGGCGTAGTATAGGAGGCAGAAAAACCAGGCAACGAATAAAGCACGTTTATCATGTGTGTAGATTAAATAGGACGGACTCTGTTCATTTCGGCGAGGTTTTATTAATTAGGTCCAATCGACTGTCAGGCACGAAGCAGAAGCGTACTATTTGTTTACGCTCGGAATAATGTGAGCTGGCTGTTATCCCAAGGAAGAGCTTGTCCTGTGCTGTGGTTCGATAGAGGTCGCGACAATTTAGTGATGGGCTATGTCCATGTGTAGTGCCCTGGAACGACCTATCGAGGCAAGTTGCTGCTATGGGAGTGTGGAGAGATGGAGCTGGGGTAAATTTTAAGATATGCGCCAGTGTTGTTCGATTTGCAGATTTTTACCTTAGTTGAATCGACTAAGTTGAGACCTCTTCCTATCGAATACTTTGCTGTATTTTAAAGTCGATTTCTTGTCTTCGGATAGCTAGTTCAGCTTTATATGGTGAGGCAGGGTTCGGTGTGTCTATTGGTATGCCTAGACCCTTCTGGCGGGAATGTATTTGGTCGGTATTCAGTGCCTAAATCAATGTGTGTGGCGATAGTGTGTGTATCGCGAATAGTTTGACTTCGGACTCAAGATTAGATCGCATGGCGAATGGTCAATTACAATTGTAGGTAGGTCAGGTTCGATGTGATATAATGGGGCCAAGCTCCTATAGTGCTTTCTGCATCTCATTATACCTTATAGCTTATTCGTGGTTATATTATATAAAAGTTTGCATCAGTTTTTTTTTGTAATGAACATTATCACCCTTACCAAATTATGCCAGGCAATAAATAATAATTTAGAGGAACGCAGCTAGTCCGGAGTCCATTGTATGCAAGATCATTTTCAAAGTCGGACCGTAGATGTGGTACATTCCCGGACGTTTCGCCGGCATCGTCAGTGAGTATCGCCATTCTTAGCACCGTACAACAACTCGTCAAAAAGACAAGTAAGTCTATCCTTTGACCAAACGTGTGCTAAACAGTTGTGATATCTCCCCTTCTGCCCTGCGCTATTCACATTTCCTATATCCTCCTATCACACCTTCACTGTTACAATTTGTACCGTGCTTATTTCGATGTGATCCCTTGAGCGGAACTCATGAAAACCCTTTACATTCCACACTCGTTTTCACCCTTTTAGCCCTGTTTTGGTGATGTTGATCAGAGTCCGACATTTTTACGCAGTCCTTCCCTGGGTCTCTTTCTTGCCCAGTGAGATCAATATGCTCTCTTCCTGGCTCACATATTTCACTCGACCCCTGCCACCCCATCTGTGCCACTCGAGGCGTTATTCTTCCTCCCCTACGTCTGGGTGACTAATTCGAGGCTAAAGCCTCTGAGTAAGTCTCATGGTCACGCCTTTGCCACATGGACCACGTCTCTTATATAACCTACTGTCAGCCAACTAGCTCCAATCGCCGCCGTGTCCATCCTGTTTCTATCCCTAATACCAAGTCTATGACTTGCCATGCCCTAGTCTCTTGTGTACCAACGCACAATTGTGGTACTGCTTGCTTTGATTAGGTTCAATGTTCAACCATAACATTTCTGTGCTGGCACACAAGAGACTAGGGCATGGCAAGTCATAGACTTGGTATTAGGGATAGAAACAGGATAGACGCGGTGGCGATTGGAGCTAGTTGGCTGACAGTGGGTTTTATAAGAGACGTGGTCCGTCTGGCAAAGGCGTGACCATGATACTTACTCAGAGGATTTAGCCTTGAATTAGTCACCCAGACGCAGATGAGGGTGAACAACGCCTCGAGTGGCACAGATGGGGTGGCAGGGGTTGAGTGAAATATATGAGCCAGGAAGTGGGCAGATGGATCTCATGGGGCAAGAAAGAAGAGACTGTGATAATAGCTAGGGAAGGAGGACTGCGTAACAATATGACAGACTCTCATCAACATTCCCAGCATAAGAGTGACGGGGGTGGAATGTGAAGGGTTTTCATGAATTTCCCTCAAAGAAGCACCACACTACGTCAAAATAAGCATGGTACAAATTGTAACAGTGAAGGTGTGATAGCAGGTTATAGGTAATGTTAATAGCTCAGGACAGAAGGGGAGATAACACAACTGTTTGGTACACGTTTGGTCAAAGGATAGGCTTACTTGTCTCTTTGACGAGTTGTTGTATGGCAATACTCACTGACGATGCCGGCGCAACGTCTGGGAATGTACCACGTCTACGTTCTGACTTTGGAAATGATCATACATACAATGGACTCCGAACTAGATGTGTTCCTCTAAGTCTTCCTACCAAGTTGCGAAATCAAGCTCAAACAACCTTTATACAACGAAACGAGACTCCGACCACATAAAAAGCAACATCATCTTGGTCTTTATACCTTCAACAAATTATAATGCTGATTACTTATTCATGCTCAATTTGTCTCGGTTAACTTATTCTTCAAAATAAGCTAATTTTCTTACTTTGTATGTTTATATTCCTAAAGCTTATAACTATTTCCATTTATATTTTTGTTTTCAGTGATGACAATCCTCTTCACTATGGTGTAATCGTGTGCAGTCTTGGTGTTAGATATCGCTCTTATTGCTCCAATGTGATCAGGACCCTCTTAGTTAATCCCACGAAGGAGCAATCTGACAATTATGAATATTTGCACACGCTTTTTGAATGGGCTATTGGTGAAATGAAACCCGGTATATATGTGATTGACATTATTGTCGAACTTTTTGTCGATACTAATAAACCTTATGTGGAATACATTTTCACAAGTATCCCTGCTCATAGTTATTTAAATAACTTACCAGTCTAATTGTAAAATTACTATCATTTCTTTTTATATTGCTTCTATTTACTTTAACTCTAAGATAACTGAAAAATATCATGCTCTGATTTCTTGCTGGGACCCCTCCAGCTTTCAGATCAAGCTGGCAGGAAAGCCTTAGATACATCTATCTGTCTTGTATGTATTTGTCTTTTAACATATCTAGTTTCCTACGCTTGGTGACCTAATTAACCACTTCGCCTATCATTAAACAAGTATATTCTAGGGCCATCATATATCACATTTACGTTATCATTGAACTTCATGTTTAATAAAAAAAATTCAACTTTATTTTTGTTCTCCATTTAGGTATCACCTTTTCTGATTTTTTTCATTCTGTGCTGTCTAAGGTCGAGAAGGAGAGGCCCGACCTTAGTGATAAGTTGGTGAAGCCATTTGGGTAAGTTTCTCTGCATTTCATCATTTTACTTATTTTTGGTAATTTCGCTGCATCAGGGAGCTTTCTCTTTTTTCGCATGAACAAACTAAAATACTAGTAGATCTTCTTGGATGATTTAGTATACTTTTGTCATTAGTAGTTGCAATATGAACAAATTAGCCCTAGCTAATCTGAGTGCGTTCATAAATAAATTTTGTGTTGCACTTCTAAGCATTTAAAAGCCTCTATTTTCTGTGTCCATATTAGAATTTAATTAATTTAACTTAAAAAACAAATCAGCTATTTTTGTATGATACTTCCCGATAATTACCCATGTTGCCCCTTGAATTTTTTTCCTGTTCAGTTGTCACGCTTTTGCATTTAAAGTTTACATTATGAACTAATTCCTCTGCTATATATTTATTTTTCTACTTTTTTTGAGCACGCTTATGCATTCACATGATCACTTGTCGGATATATCCTTTACTAGCCCATCAGTTAAGAGCACAATGTTGATAAACTTTAAGTAATTATCTCATCAAATTTCTCAACAACCTTAAGGTTTTACGTTCATAAGTAGAGTTTTAAGACTACAAGCAAATCACCCTATTTCGTTTAAGGTAATGAAGGACTGCTATTTGAATTTTCCCACAATGATATGATAATAATTGATATTTCCATTGACTTTCACATAGCCTTGCTTTCCCGAAAGGTGTTCTTATCCAGAGTTGACTTAAGTTTCGACCTCGCCTAGGTCTTATCAACATCCCAAGAGGGAGTCGAACTATGACAGTGCAGAGTGTAATCTCAACCCTTTAACCACTATGTCACATTTCCACGAGTGCCATTGGGCCACAGGGCAGATGTGATTTTTGAGTAATACCATGCATTTTCCCATATCACCTGCATGAGAACACTTTTTGTAAATGCAAGGCTATGTGAAATTCCCTGTAATTGTCCGCTCTACTCATCATTTTGGGAAAATTCAACTACCAGTCCTTCACCTTAAACGAAAAATGGATACTTTTCATATTTTCTTTTTATTCATCTTGCTCAAATCTCCTTCAGATAGTTCATCTATATAGTATTACAAACCTTTTCATCTTTAGCTCGGCCTCTCGACCCCTAACCCTTCACCAG